GAATGAATGAATGAATGAATGAATGAATTGCTGATAGTCGTATCATCACCTAGCACAGTGGTTCTCAACCTTTTTAATGCCGCGACCCCAACCGGTCATAAGTCGAGGACTAAACCGGTCGTAAGTCGAGGACTAAACCGGTCGTAAGTCGAGGACTAAACCGGTCGTAAGTCGGGGACTACCCAACCGGTCGTAAGTCGAGGACTTTCCCTGCCCGGGAGCGCCGCACATGCATGGTTCCGCCCTCTGCGCCGGCCGAGGCGTAGCTGGCAAGCGGCAGAGACGGAGCAGGCTGACCACCAGCTGGCCCAGCCCAAGGGAGGTAAGGCACCCGCCGGAAAAGGGGGAAAAAATGGCGGACAAAAAAAATGGCGGACAGCCTTGCTTGGCGACCCCCGTGAAATGGTCAATCGACCCCAAATCGGGTCCCGACCCACAGGTTGAGAACCATTGACCTAGCATCAATTCCCAGCACCCACAATTGCCTAGAATCAATTCCCAATTCCCAGAATCAATCATCCATTCCCAAAGGGGCCCGGAAGACGCAGCACACAGCCCAAACCCCAGCTGAGCCAAAGGAGCAGATCGGCAGCATCGCCGATTCCCAGTCCCCTGCAGTCACAGCCAGCAATCCCGCTGCCCTTTGCTGGGGGGGGGTGTCTTACCTGAAGTCTTGGGGGGCCGTAGGCCCTTCTCTCCGGCGGGCTTGAATCCCTGGGTGGCCCAATCCAGCATCGGCTTCAGCTTCTCGTCCAGGGACTCCCCAGGGACGCTGGAGAAGGTCTTCCCAGCGCGGCTGCTGGCGATCTGCCGTGGCAAGGATTTTGGTCATGGAGGATTGGGGCAGGGGGCTCAGAGCCTGGAGGAAACACCCAGAAGCCCCCTCCCCACTCGCAGTGCCATCTACCATGCATGGTGGATCTGCCCAAATCCCACCCAGACAAGGGTCCCAAGCGTTTTTCGTTTTTTTTAAAGTGGAGGTGGCAGCAAGGATGGGTTTGAAAGTGCTGCTCTACGGCGCAGCTGGAGTGACTTTGGATTTGGCAACGTACACAAAAATCGCACAAAAATAGGTCAATAAAATTAAGAGGAAGGAATGTCCACCCAAAGGCAATCAAGGGCGATTTTGCTGCAGCCAGGCACCCATCTGTAGCTTTGGGTTGAACTGTGGGGTCCTGGGTGCTCTCTGAGCGGGGTTGTTTTCTGGAAGACGTTTTGTGACCCAACTAGGGAACATCACCAGTGCTGGAAGGGAGNGCAACCTCCGCTCTTTTATGACTCGTGGACTTCAACTCCCAGAATTCCTGAGCCAGCCATGCTGAGGGGAAAGGGAGAGGTTTCCAAGCTGAGCCACGCTGGCTCAGGAATTCTGGGAGTTGAAGTCCTCAAGTCATAAGGGGGCCAAAGTTCCCCCATGCTGGCTCAGGAATTCTGGGAGTTGAAGTCCACGAGTCATGAGGGGGCCGTAGTTCCCCCACGCTGGCTCAGGAATTCTGGGAGTTGAAGTCCACGAGTCATAAAAGAACCAAGGTTGCCTACCCCTGGCCTAGAATCAATTCCCAATATCACCTTTATATAATCACCTGCAATCAATTCCCATTATTGCCTATATAATCGTATAATCCCCTAGCATCCATTCCCGGCACCCATAATTGCCTCCAATCTGTTCCCAGTTTCACTTTTAATCATATAAATCGTCAACAATCCATTCCCCAACTGGTCCAGAATGCGGCCGCGCGGGCGGTGTTGGGAGGGACTCGTCGCTCCCATGTAACACCGCTGCTGCGCGAGCTGCACTGGTTACCAGTGGCCTTCCGGGTGCGCTTTAAGGTGTTAGTTACCACCTTTAAAGCGCTCCATGGCATCGGACCTGGCTACCTCCGAGACCGCCTTCTGCCGCAGATTCCCTCCCATAGACCGGTACGCTCCCACAGAGCGGGCCTCCTCAGGGTGCCGTCGGCCAAGCAATGTCGGCTGGCGACCCCCAGGGGGAGGGCCTTCTCTGTGGGAGCCCCCACCCTCTGGAACGAACTGCCCCCCGAGATCCGGATGATTCCGGATCTCCTTACTTTCCGCCGCGCCCTCAAGACATGGCTTTTCCAGCAAGCGGGCCTGACCTGGGGAGGATTTTAGGAAGGGATGATTTTAGAAGCATTTTAATTGGAAACACAGCTGTCAATATTTGGTTTTTAATTCGGTTTTATAGGGGTTTATATTGTTGTTATTGTTGTATTTTTTGTATTTTTATTTTTATGTATAGTATTTGTTTTTTAATTATGCTGTGAACCGCCCTGAGTCCTATGGGAGAAGGGCGGTATACAAATTAAAGAATGAATGAATGAATGAATGAATGAATGAATTGCTGATAGTCGTATCATCACCTAGCACAGTGGTTCTCAACCTTTTTAATGCCGCGACCCCAACCGGTCATAAGTCGAGGACTAAACCGGTCGTAAGTCGAGGACTAAACCGGTCGTAAGTCGAGGACTAAACCGGTCGTAAGTCGGGGACTACCCAACCGGTCGTAAGTCNTGACCCAACTAGGGAACATCATTAGTGCTGGAAGGGAGGAAGGATTGTGGGGTCCTTGGTGCTCTCTGAGCTGAGGGGGGGTGTCATGCACATGTTTCATGACCCAACTGGGGAACATCATGCTAGAAGGGAGGAGGAGGAGGACGACGACTGTGGAGTCCTTGGTGCTCTCTGAACTTGATGGTTTCATGACCCAACTAGGGAACATCATCCGTGCTAGAAAGGAGTGGGGTGTGTGGAGAGGAGGAGGAGGAGGACGCCTGGAGGATCCTTGGTGCTTTCTGAGCTGGGTGCTTTCCTTGCAGACTTTTCATGACCCAACTAGGGAACATCATCAGTTCCAGAAGGGAGGGGAGTTTGCAGGGAGGAGGAGGAGCCGGGGGGGGCACCCCTCATTGGTGCTCTCTTGTTCTCGTGCAGACGTTTCATGACCCAACTAGATAACCGCATCGGTGCTAGAAGGAAAGCTCCTTTGCTCCCTGTTTATATACTAGTGACTTGCCCTGTCCATCTTGGTGGGAGTGGTGGTTTTTTTTTGTTTAATTTTATTTATTTGTATCCTGCCTTTTGTTATTTTTACAAATTACGTAAGGGGGCAAAGAGGCCTAATACTTTTTCCTCCCCTTATTTTCCACCTATTATCTGGTTGGGTCATGAAATGTCTGCAAAAAAACCACCAAGGCAGTGATCACCAAGGTCCCTATCCTCCTCCTCCTCCTCCTCCTCCCTTCTAGCCCTGATGATGTTCCCTAGCTGGATCATGAAATGTCTGCAAGAAATCCACCAAGCTCAGAGAGCACCAAGGACTCCACAGTCCTCCTCCTCCTCCTCCTCCTCCTCCTCCTCCTCCTCCTCCTCCACAAACACCACTCCCTCTAGCACTGATGATGTTCCCTAGTTGAGTCATGAAAGGTCTGCCAGAGAACAACAGCACTTCAATGACCCCACAGATGCTACCTACATTGGTGCCAACTGGCTTACAGCTACCCATTCTCTGCCCCTGATAGGCATCACCCCAATCATCCACATGCTAAGCCACCATCTCCCATGCTAAGCCACCTTTGCACCCACCCCCTTCTCACCTCTAAAACGTGGAGAATGGATTGCCGGTAGGACACCAACTTCTGAAAGGTGGTGGGGTTAAAATGGTCCTGGAAGTTCACCAGCCCCACCAGTTTCTCAGCGGAGATCTGCAACGAGGAGACAAGGGCTGGTCAATCTTCGTCCCTTTATCCCCGCCGTCCCAGAAAAGACCCCTCCCCAGGGCAGCATCCTCAACTCCCTAAATCTGGGATCGACCTGGTGGCGCCTCTACCTGGAGTAACAGAGGCTCAACCAGGTGATGTTCTCCTGGGTAGGGATCGACTTGTGAATTTCCCCCGCATTTCTGAGATGGGTTAATGCAGGGGTCTTCAAACTTGGCCCTTTTATGACTGGTGGACTTCAACTCCCAGAGACCCCCACCACTCCTGCTTCCTGGATTCTGGTCATGACTTGGAGAAAAAAAAAAGCACTTTTCCGTACAATTTATTCTCAAAGTCAATAAACCGACTGCAAGCTTTCTTGAAAAATATATGAAAAATACATTGGGGAGTTTGAAAATGGCTTACAGTTGGGTTCCGCAAATGCGGTTTGGTTACAAACAGCGATTTGCAAGCCACAATTTGTGGTTTCACGCAGGGGGTCTTCAAACGTGGACCTTTTATGACTGGTGGACTTCAACTTCCAGAATTCCTCAGCCAGGCATGCTGGCTGAGGAATTCTGGGAGTTGAAGTCCACCAGTCATAAAAGGGCCATGTTTGAAGACCCCTGGTTTAGGACTACATACCTATATTAGATTCTTTATGAGGGGGAAAAAAGCAGAAATCTTACCCTTGTTCTACATTTAGTGATTATTATCTACCTTCCAGCCATGGAGCCACAAAGCAGCCCACAAAAATCTGAACTAGGCCTCTATCTGCTCTTTTTTTCCAGAATGTTCCTTCAAGGTTTCTCACAATACTCATACCTGCCTTATATATTCTATAGAACAGGGGTCTTCAAACTTGGCTCTTTAATGACTTGTGGACTTCAACTCCCAGAATTCCTCAGCCAGGCACACTGGCTGAGGAATTCTGGGAGCTGAAGTCCACAAGTCATCAAAGGGCCAACTTTGAAGACCCCTGGTTTAACGTGTCCGAACCCAGCTGGTTGCCTTTCTATTCCACAAACCACGGCTAAGAAAATGGTAGATTCGTCCGAGGACAGAGCCAAGGGGCTGACCCTCTTCCCAGCCAGCCCACCTCCCCCTTCCACGCCCCTCACCTCCGAAAACTTTCCGTCCCCAAACCATTTCACCCAGCGCATGCCGGGGGCCGCCTGGCGGTTGGAGGTGGTCTTCCAGGACACCACAATGGCCGGCCACCAAGAAAAGCCTTTGATCTTGCCCCAGACGAGCTCTCCGAACCCAAAGCCTTTCCCGTCCTGCAAATCAAAACAGAAAGAAGGGGAAGGATGGACAGCAGAGGTCAGTTAGGGTTAGGGGGAAAGCGGGATAATAATAATAATAATAATAATAATAATAATAATAATAATAATAATAATGATGATGATGATGATGATGATGATGATGATGATGATGATGTTGTTGGAAGGGACCATGGAGGTCATCTAGTCCAACCCCCTGCTCAGACAGGAAACCCTATACCATTTCAGACAAATGGCTGTCCAGTCTCTTCTTAAAAACTTCCAGTGTTGGAGCATTCACCGCTTCTGGAGGCAGGTTGTTCCCCTGGTTAATTGTTCTCACTGTCAGGAAGTTTCTCCTTAGTTCTTGGTTGTTTCTCTCCTCGATTAGTTTCCACCCGTTGCTTCTTGTCCTGCCTTCAGGCGCCTTGGAGAATAGCTTGACTCCCTCTTCTTTGGGGCAGCCCCTGAGATACTGGAAGGCTGCTATCCTGTCCCCCCTCGTCCTTCTCTTCATTAAACCGGACACACCCAATTCCAGCAGCCGTTCCTTGTATGTTTTAGCCTCCAGTCCTCTAATCATCTTTGTTGCTCTTCTCTGTACTCTCTCTAGAGTCTCAGCATCTTTTTTACATCCTGGTGACCAAAACTGGATGCAGTATTCACTTCTTTAATAGATTGGGGAAATGCTGCAGACATAATGTATCTTCAATTTCCATATTGCAATAGCACAGGGGTAGGCAACCTTGGCTCTTTTATGACTCGTGGACTTCAACTCCCAGAATTCTTGGGCCAGCCATTCTGAGGGGAAAGGGAGGTTTCCAAGCTGAGCCACGCTGGCTCAGGAATTCTGGAAGTTGAAGTCCACCAGTCATGAGGGGGCCATAGTTCCCCCATGCTGGTTCAGGAATTCTGGGAGTTGAAGTCCACGAGTCATGAGGGGGCCGTAGTTCCCCCATGCTGGCTCAGGAATTCTGGGGGTTGAACTCCACGAGTTATAAAAGAGCCAAGGTTGCCTACCCGTGGCCTAGTCCATTGTTTCTCTACCTCAGCAACTTTAAGACGTGGGGACTCCAACTCCCAGAATTCCTGAGCCAGCCATGCTGAGGGGAAAGGGAGAGGTTTCCAAGCTAAGCCATGCTGGCTCAGGAATTCTGGGAGTTGAAGTCCACGAGTCATGAGGGGGCCATAGTTCCCCCATGCTGGCTCAGGAATTCTGGGAGTTGAAGTCCACGAGTCATGAGGGGGCCATAGTTCCCCCATGCTGGCTCAGGAATTCTGGGAGTTGAAGTCCACCAGTCATAAAAGAGCCAAGGTTGCCTACTCCTGGAACAGCGCTACATCAGGATCCAGATCAGAGTTCTCCATTTTTAAACTGGATGTTCAGGATGGCTTACCCATTCACAGGTAGTCCTCGACGTACGACCGTTCCTTTAGTGACCGTTCAAAGTTACCACAGTACTGAAAAAAGGGACTTGTGACCATTTTTAACACTTAACAACCGTTCCTGCATTATCCCATCATCCTGGGATCAGATTTCAGCCACTTGGCAACTGACTCATAGTTATGACGGTTGCACAGCATCCCCGGGGGTTACGTCATCCCCTTTTGCGACCTTCCGAAAAGCCAAGTCAGTGGGGGAAGCCAGATTCACTTAACAACTGTGTGACTCGCTTAACAACCGCAGGGATGCCCTTAACAACTGCGGCGAGAAAGGTCGTAAAATGGGAGGCAAAACTCGCCGAACCTGTGTCTCAACATCACAAATTTTGCTCTCAGTTGTCATCGTAAGTCAAGGACTACCAGAACAAGGAGTGGATTTTTGGCTAAAACTTAAATCTTGAAACCGTTTTGGACGCCCCTCCTTTCTGCCAATAACAACAGGGGGCGTCTCCTTTAAAGACGGTTAAATTCGCTCCCGAAGCCCACCCCGGTGCTCCCACCTGATATTCTTCCATCTTTCTCAGTGTTCGGTATTCACAGCCGTTCGGGACCTGGGTGTTCTCCTTCTGCTTGGAAATCTCCTCTTCGGAGTAGTTTTTCTGGATAAATCCGGAAAGCCTCTTTGAGTGCTGGAAAGGAAGGGGAGGGGAAAATGAGTCCGCTCCGCAGGAGAGGCGCGAAGGAGACGCAAGGAGGGCGCCTCGATCAAAAAACAGACTGTCCTTGCGTAGACCCTGCAAAGTGACCCTCTCATCTCCTCTTATGGAGCAGGGGTCTCCAACCTTGGCAACTTTACGCCTTGTGGACTTCAACTCCCAGAATTCCCCAGCCAGTCAGGCTAGAACTAGAACTCATCGCCTCCTGGTGATTGGCCCAAAGTCACCCAGCTGGCTTTCATGCTTAAGGCGGGACTAGAACTCCCAGTCTCCTGGTGATTGGCCCAAACTCACCCAGCCTACTTCCCTACCTGAGGCAGGACTAGAACTCACTGTCTCCTGGTGATTGGCCCAAAGTCACCCAGCCGTCTCCCATGCCTAAGGCAGAACTAGAACTCCCCACCTCCTGGTGATTGGCCCAAAGTCACCCAGCCGGCTTTCATGAGTAAGGTAGGACTAGAACTCATCGTCTCCTGGTGATTGGCCCAAAGTCACCCAGCTGGCTTTCATGCCTAAGGCGGGACTAGAACTCACCGCCTCCTGGTGATTGGCCCAAAGTCACCCAGCCGGCTTCAGTGCTTAAGACAGAACTAGAACTCACAGTCTCCTGGTGATTGGCTCAAAGTCATGCTGGTTGGCTGGGGAATTCTGGGAGCTGGGAGTCCCCAAGGCTTAAAGCTGCCAAGGGTTGGAGATCCCTGCCCTTGAGGACTAGTGTGATGGGTTGACAGGTTCATAATTCATCCTGCCCTCAACAAGCAGGACCCCCAAGGACCAACAGGGGGCAGTTTTTTCCCCCTCAGGTGACAATAGGTACAAAATGTCTGGGAGTTGCAATCCTTGACTTACAGTCATTCGTTTAGTGACCGTTGCAGCATCTCCTGTGGTCACGTGATCAAAATTCAGACACTTGGCAACTGACTCGCATTTACGACGGTTTGCAGTGTCTCCCGGGGTCACGTGATCCCCTTTTGCAACCTTCTGGCAAGCAAAGTCAATGGGGAAGCCGGATTCGCTTAACGGCCAGGTTACTAACTTAACAATGGGGGTGATCTGCTTAAGAACGGTGGCAGGAAAGGTCATAAAACGGGGCAAAACTCACTTAACAACTGAAATGTCAGGCTCACCTGTGGCCATAAGGCGAGGACTACCTGCACCCTTTAAATGTCTATAAAGGCTGAGAAGACAAGTTTCGATCGAGGTCACGAATCCCAGCCTTATTGATTACGCGCCTATAAATATACACTCCGTCTGCTCATACAGTTAAGTCCTCGGCATACGACCGTAATGGAGCCTGCCCATCACGGTCATAATTCATGGCGGTTGGAAAGTAGGACGGTCACGCGATCGACCCCCAATTTGATGACCTTTTTTTGCGTAAGTTCTTAAGCGAGTCCCAAAGTCGTCAAGCGGATCCATTCCTTGCCATGTGCTAGTTTATTATAATAATAAAGTTGGAAGGGACCTTGGAGGTCATCTAGTCCAACCCCCTACTCAGGCAGGAAACCCTATACCATTTCAGACAAATGGCTGTCCAGTCTCTTCTTAAAAACCTCCAGTGTTGGAGCATTCACCGCTTCTGGAGGCAGGTTGTTCCACTGGTTAATTGTTCTCACTATCAGGAAGTTTCTCCTTAGTTCCAGGTTGCTTCTCTCCTTGATTAGTTTCTATCCATTGCTTCTTGTCCTGCCTTCAGGCGCTTTGGAGAATAGCTTGACTCCCTCTTCTTTGGGGCAGCCCCTGAGATACTGGAAGACTGCTATCATGTCCCCCCTCGTCCTTCTCTTCATTAAACTAGACATACTCAATTCCCGCACCCACAACTTCTGGAGGCAGGTTGTTCCACTGGTTAATTGTTCTGTCAGGAAGTTTCTCCTTAGTTCTAGGTTGCTTCTCTCCTTGATTAGTTTCCATCCATTGCTTCTTCTCCTGCTTGCAGGCACTTTGGAGAATAGCTTGACTCCCTCTTCTTTAGGGCAGCCCCTGAGATACTGGAACACTGCTATCCTGTCCCCCCTCGTCCTTCTCTTCCTTAAACTAGACATACCCAATTCCAGCAACCGTTCCTTACATGTTTTAGCCTCCAGTCCCCTAATAATCTTTGTTGCTCTTCTCTGCACTCTTTCTAGAGTCTGAACATCTTTTTTACATCGTGGTGACCAAAACTGGATGCAGGATTCCAAGTGTGGCCTTACCAAGGCCTTGTAAAGTGGTATTAGTACTTCATGTGATCTTGATTCTCTCCCTGTTAATGCAGCCTAGCACTGCGTTGGCCTTTTTGGCAACTGCAGCACACGGCTGGCTATCTATTAAGCGGTGTTTATTTCTAGTTTTAGGCAAAACTGTCGTAAAATGTGGTCATAAATTGCACATGACTATGAAGGTGGCATGGCTGCTAAGCACCCATATATAGGGGTCATTTGATTGGGGGGGGCTTGGACCATTGGAACTTCAAATCCACTTTGCATGTACCCCCCCCCCAGATAAGTCTATCAGATCTTCAACTGGTGGCTAAGCGAACGGTCGTAAAACAAGGACTTTTTCCTCCATTTTTTCCCCACCTTGTTTTATAAGGTGGCGTAGAGGTCATCCTCAACTTATGACCACAATGAAGCCCAAAAAATTTACGTTGCTAAGCGAGAGGCTTGTTAAGGGAGGGGTTCCCCCTCCCTTTTTTTTTACGGCTGTTAAGTGAATCAGTTGTGTGGTTGCTGAGTTGTGTGATTGTCAGAAAGTCACAAAGGGGGGGGAATCATGTGACCCCCGGGGGGCCCTGCGACCGTCATAAATACGAGTCAGTGGCCAAGCGTCTGAATTTTGATCCCGTGACCACGGGGCAGGCTGCAACGGCCGTTAAGCGTGAAAAACGGTCCTAAGTCCCCTTTTTCCGTGCCGTCGTAATTTTGAGCGGTTGCTAAACGAATTGTTGTAATACGAGGACTGACTGTATTCTTCTCCTTGATTTCTTGCAATGAGTTAAATTCAAAAGAAGGAGACCCCCCCCTACCCTGATTTTGTGACGTTCCTTGAAACCTTCTATGCTTTCTACGTCGTCTTTGGGCTTCCTGTCCTGCGAGGCGGGCCCAGCCTGGAAGACGATCCGGGGCGGCGGTTTCTGTCTCAGGCTGTTCTCCCAGCCGGCGCTTCCTCGCAACGGGACCTGGAAACACCCCCCCCCCAAAAGGGGAGAGAAAACCATTAGGATCCGAGCACCTGGACCCCCGAACCGAGAGAACAGGGGTCCCTTAAATTCTACTCTTCCTCTCATCAGAAATGGGAAGATTACACCACAAAATGTCACTCCCAGGGAAAAAGCAGTTTCCAGTGCTCCCCAAAAAAACCATGAATTATACGGACATTCCTTTATTTATTTGTAAGCCCGTCTTTATTATTTTTCAAAAAACATATTTTACACACATATTTTCCGCACAACAGCCTGTGGGGTGGGTTGGGCTGGGCTGAGAGAGGGACTGGCCCAAAGTCATGTAGCTGGCTTCTGTGGCTAAGGCGGGACTAGAACTCACTGTCTCCTAGTGATTAGGCCAAAGTCACCAGGCTGGCTTTCCTGCCTAAGGCGGGACTAGAACTCATCATCTCCTGATGATTGGCCCAATGTCACCCAGATGGCTTTCATGCCTACGGCGGGACTAGAACTCACCGTCTCCTGGTGACTGGCCCAAAGTCACCCAGCTGGCTTTCAGGGCTAAGGTGGGACTAGAACTCACAGTCTCCTGGTGACTGGCCCAAAGTCACCCAGTTGGCTTTTGTGCCTAAGACAGTACTAAAACTCACCATCTCCCAGTGATTCGCCCAATGTCACCCAAATGGCTTTCGTGCCTAACACGGGACTAGAATTCACCATCTCCTGGTGATTGGCCCAAAGTCATCCAGCTGTCTTTCGTGCCTAAGGTGGGACTAGAACTCTCCATCTCCTGGTGACTGGCCCAAAGCTGGCTTTGGTGCCTAAGGCAGTACTAAAACTCACCATCTCCGGGTGATTCGCCCAGTGTCAACCAAATGGCTTTCGTGCCTAACGTGGAACTAGAACTCATTGTCTCCTGGTGATTGGCCCAAAGTCACCCAGCTGTTTTTCGTGCCTAAGGTGGGACTAGAACTCCCCGTCTCCCAGTGATTCGCCGAAAGTCTCCCAGACGGCTTTCGTGCCTAACGTGGAACTAGAACTCACTGTCTCCTGGTGATTGGCCCAAAGTCACCCGGCCAGCTTTCGTCCTTAAGGCAGGACTAGAACTCACAATCTCCCGTTCTCTAGCCTGGTGCCCAAACTGGTTCTCCCAAACTGGCGCATCCTGGCGTTGGACGGCACACCTGTCCTTGGCTCACCTCCCAGCCTTGCTTGGGAATGTCATCAGTCTCCTCCTCCTCCTCCTTCTTTGTGTGGCATGTCACACTTTCCGCCTGGCTGGCATCTGTGCAAAGGAATCGTCAGTCAACAGGGTGCCGCGCCTGGCGTTTTTGACACCCGCGACTTCCTTTCTGCAGGAATCCGCCCGGGGCGAACCACAAACCCCGACGACGTCCCAGTTCTAAGCCAGTTCGACGAATTTTGTTTCTCCACAAGGATTTCAGCCCTGGAAGTTCCCACGCCTGCCTGCCTGCCTGGCTAGCTGACAGCGCTCAAAGATCTCCTGGTGGTCTCCCATCCTTCTCCTTCTTCTTCTTCTTCCCTGTGACTGCAGACGTCTAGTTCTGAAACCCGTCGGATGCCCCGCAGGCCTGCAGCTCTCTGCAGGCAGTTCCTGGATTCACCAAATGCGAGCGGTCCTCCACTTACGACCACCACTTCCGTCACTGAGATGGTTGTTATCGGAGTCGCACCCAATTTGACAAGCTTGTCATGCCGTGGGGGGTCGTGAAGCCAAATCAAGGTTATAAAGTTGGGTGTGACTCGCTCAACAACCACCTCGCTTACTGATGGAAGTCCCAGTTATGGTCGTTAAGTTGAGGACCACCTGTCATTTTAAGCCTCACGGGCCAGTGATTCCTCCATCATGCTGGGAGCCTCCAGAATAACGTTTCTCAACCTTTGAAGATGGGTGGATTTCAACTCCCAGAATTCCCCAGCCAGCTTTGCTGGCTGGGGAATTCTGAGAGTTGAAGTCCACCCATCTTCAAGTTGCCACAGTTGGGAAATCCTAATCTTCCTTCCTTTCTGCTTATCCTCCCTCCCTTCCATCCTTCCTTCCTCTTTCTTCTCCCTCTTCCTTCATTTCTTCTTTCCTTCCTTCCTCCTCTTTCCCTCCCTTTTCTTCCTTCCTCTTTATCCATCTCTTCCTTCTCTTCCTTTCTTCCCCCATCTCTTTATCCTCCCCTCTGCCATTCTCCTTCCTTCCTATCTTCTTCTCCCTCCTTCATTTATTCCCCCTCCCCACCTCCTTCCTTCCTCCCTCCCTCTTTATCCTTCCTTCCTTCTCCCTTCTCTTTTCTTCCTTTCTTCCTCCATCACTTTATCCTCCCTTCTGCCATTCTCCTTCCTTCCTACCTTCTTCTCCCTCCTTCTTCATTTATTCCTCCTCCCCACCTCCCTCCCTCTCTTTATCCTTCCTTCTCCCTCTCTCCCTTTTCTTCCTTTCTTCCTCCATCACTTTATCCTCCCTTCTGCCATTCTCCTTCCTTCCTACCTTCGTCTCCCTCCTTCTTCAGTTATTCCTCCTCCCCACCTCCTCCCTTCCTCCCTCCCTCTTTATCCTTCCTTCTCCCTCTCTCCCTTTTCTTCCTTTCTTCCTCCATCACTTTATCCTCCCTTCTGCCATTCTTCTTCTTTCCTACCTTCTTCTCCCTTTCATTTCTTCCTCCTCCCCACTTCCTTCCTTCCTCTTTATCCTTCCTTCCTTCTCTCTCTTCCTCTTTATTCTCCCTCTCCCTTCTCTTTTCTTCCCTTCTTCCTCCCTCTCTTTATCCTCCCTTCCACCATTCTCCTTCCTTCCTCCCTTCCCTCCTTTCCGCCCTCTCCTCTTTATCCTCCGTCCCTTCTTCTTCCTTCCTTCCTTCCTTCCTTTCCTCTTTATCCTCCGTCCCTTCTCCTTCCTCCTTATCCTCCAGACCAAGGCAAGGCCACCCATCCTCCAGAACCGGACTGATGACCACAGGGGCAAAGAGGGAGCTCCAGGCTGCCCCAATCCTTGATGGCCTCCGGGGCGCAGAGATACCTGTGTGGTCTTCCTCCTTGAGGGGAGGGTCCGAGTCGCTGCAGTTCCCGTTGACCAAGACCAGATCTTCCTCCCCCTCCGTCGTCCAGCTGGCGTTCTTCTCTCGCTTCATCTTCTCACCTGCCGGAGAGATTTTGCAGCAAGACAACCTTGAGCCAAACCCAAACTTCGCCCACTGATACTCAACACGACAAAAGAGCTGCCATTTTCTTTGATCCCAATTTAAGAGCATTCACCCCCACAGTGGCTAGGTTCCCATTTTAAGAGTGTTTTGCAAGCTGAGTCAAATTTCAACTCCCAGAATTCCCCAGCCAGCCATGCTTGAAGATGGCTGGACTTCAACTCCCAGAATTCCCTAGCCAGCATCTTTTAACATGGGTGGGCTTCACCTCTTAAGCAAAATCTCCTTGATGCTGGCCTATTTAGACTAGTATTTCCAATCTTGGCCACTTTTAAGATAGGTTGACCTCAACATATGGCTGGCTGGGGAATTCTGGGAGTTGAAGTCCACTCACCTTCAAGCGTGCTGACTAGGGAATCCCCAACTGTGGCATATATCCGATACCTGGAGGTGAGTCAGCATTTAAGTCAGTACGGTATTTTTCAAACTTAGCAGCTATTAAGTTGGGTGGACCTCAACTCCCAGAATTCCTCAGCCAGCCATGCTGGCTGAGGAATTCTGGGAGTTGAAGTCCACTCATCTTAAGGTTGCTGCAGTTAACGCTTATTGGCAAAGACTGCAACCTGGGGCTTAATTCAACTGCCCCCCCAAAACAAACTTTCAGTTGATTATTTTAAAGGGGGGTACCACTCCCCACAATCCCAGGGCTCACAAAGGCCAGGCAAAAAGGGAAGTAGGAAGTGAGCCCTTGTGTGTTTGGGGGAGGGGAGGAAAGGGGGAGGAACAATGCCTCCAGTTCTTTGCCTTGATCCTGCAGAGGTTCCCAGATCAAAAAGGGATCTGCCCAGGCAAGCAAAGCTTCCTTGGGCTGACTGCAAGAGACAAGAGAAAAAAAATCAAAACAAAACACCGTTTAAATTAAAATGGGTTTTCCGGCAAAAAACATTCAAAGAGAGAGGCGCTTGTGTATGGGCCCGGAGGCTGAAAACACAACACAACACAACACACGGAGAGACACACAATCTTTTCCACGCGACGCTGCTGCCTGCATGCCACCTTCATCACAAAGAGGTCAAGACAGCCCTGGAGGGCGATCGTGGTGTGCAAAAAAAAAAACTGAATTACTGTTGCAAACGGGAGCAAATTCTGGATTCGCTTGATGGAAGTTGCAACGGCACTGCTGGAAAAAGTGACTTGTGACCCTTTTTTCACACTTACGACCGTCGCAGCATCCCGACGGTCACGTGATCAAAAATTCAAAGGCTTGGAAACTGGCATGTACGTAGGACGGTTGCAAAGTCCCCACGGGGGGGGGGGGTCACGTGATCCCCTTTTGAGACCTTCTGACAAGCCAGCGATGAAGCTGTATCCACTTAATAACCGGGAAACTAACTTAGCAAGGGCAGTGATTCACTTAACAACGGTGGCAAGGAAGGTCGTAAACCGGGGAAAAAACTCTCGCTTAAATGTGTCTTGCTTAGCAATGCAGCTAGTCCTCAAGTCACAACCGTTCGCTGAGCGACGGTTTGAAGTTACAACCGCACTTTTTTTTAAAAAAATGACCGTTTTTCACACTTAGGACCGTTGCTCCATGGTCACATCGGACGCCAGGGCTGTGGAGTCGGTAGATAAATGTTCCGACTCCGACTCCTCTGTATTAATATGCAAATGTATTTTATACATTCCATGCACATGAAAAGCATGCTTCTTCACGGTCACTTAACGTGTTCGTTTTGCGGTTACGTGAGGCACTGCATGCATTGGTCTTTATTCTTACAGTAGAGAAGTCATTAATTATAACTTTTTTGTGAATTGGGACATTTAAACTTGCTTTTTTTTTTAATTCCAATCTAAATTTAGTAGGAGTCGGAGTCGGTGCATTGTTTGCCGACTCCGACTCCGACTCCAGGTACCCAAAATTTCCTCCGACTCCGACTCCTCGACTCCGACTCCACAGCCCTGTCGGACGCTGGGCAACGGGCTCACATTTATGACGGTCGCAGTGTCCTGGGGTCACGGGATCCCCTTGGGTGACCTTCGGACAAGCAATGTCAAATGGGGAAGCCAGATCGGCTTAACAAACGTGCTACTAATTTAACCACCAGAGGGATTCGCTTAAGAACCGCGTCAAGAAAAGGTTGTAAAATGGGGCAAAACCCGCTTAACAAACATTTCACTTAGCCACAAAAATCGGGGGCTCAGTTGTGGTCCTAAGTATGATAGACTTGTGGGGCCGGCACGTTGTGCAATAAGTTCACGTGGTGCAACAAGACTGTGTGTTTGTTGTCGCTGTGAGTTGTGTTGGGAGGGGGGGTGCACGAAGGGCGGCTCAGCCAATCTCATTGTACACATGTTGTACTTGGACAATAAAGGTTGATTTGATTTGATAAGTCAAGGATGACCTATAAATGTCCAGCTTTGGAAAACTGGAAGATCTAAAATTGGGGTCTTTTCCTGGACTTGCCC